TTTGAACTAATGTTATGCATCTTTATTCTTCTTAATATAAAAGATTTTTATTAAAAATAAAGAAAAAAATGAGATCCCCTCTTCCTCTTCATCCTCCTCCTAACCCCCCTCCTCTTAAGGAGGCTTACGCCTCTTGCATTCTGAACTTCGCCTCACGCCTCTAGGTAGTGGAATGCCTCGCGTCACGCCTCCGCGTTTTAAAACATTGCTTACTACTATCCTGCTCTCTTGCATTTTCTGTTTGGTCGTGCATCTCTTCTCTATTTGGTTGCAGGTGGGACCCTCCACAGGACTGTGCAGCTCTTTTCAATCCAGCTTTCTTTAGGCAAGAAAAAAAGAGAGGAAGATTACTATGGAAGACAGCAAGGGCAGCTACAATCTGGACTCTATGGGAGGAAAGAAATGAAAGACTGTTCAAAGACAAGGCAAGGAACTTGGAGGACATTGTTGAAAACATAAAGACCAAAACAGCAATGATGGTAAAATCTTTGGAGGCTTTCAAATTGGCGGCAGTAGATGATATTATCAGAGCCTGGTTTGAAGTGGCCAACCCAGCAGTTGTGAAAGAAAGAGTAGCTCTGGACTGGAAACCTCCTCAATCAAACAGACTAAAACTTGACTTCGATGGAAACTCATTAGGAAACCCTGGTTTGTCGGGAATAGGAGTGTTCAGGGATGAAGCAGGGAAAGTGGTAACACTATTCTCAGGTCTGATAGGAGTAGGGGATTCGGCAAGAGCAAAAATATCAACCTTACTGCAAGGCCTGAAACTAGCAAAACAAAGGGTTTTAAGAATTTAGAAATAGAAGGTGATTCAAAATTAGTAATTTCATGGATGGATGACAACAATCCAGGAGTGTGGAAGTTCAGGCATCTAATTTCAATGATTTCCTTACATTGGCTGAAATCCTTGACCTGTTTGTTGATATTTCTACGGATATGTTGCTGAATAGCTGGCTGGAGGTGGCAAATTCTGCTCCTGCTCGCTCTTTAGTTTGTCCTATATGGTCACCACCAAGAAATGGACTTATAAAGCTAAACTTTGATGGAAGTAGTGAGGGAAATCCAGGTCCATCAGGTGTAGGAGGGGTTTTCAGAGATGAGGATGGGAAGGTGCTTGGTTTGTATTCAGGTTCCATTGGGATTGGAGACTCTCTTAAAGCTGAGGTCCATGCAGTACTGGAGGGTTTAAGGAAATCTAAGGAACCGAATATACAAAAGTTAGTCATTGAAGGGGACTCAAAGCCGGTCTTAAGTTGGTTACAAGAAGGTAGTGGACTTTGGAAATATGCTAATGAGAGGAGGGAGATTAAGTGGCTAACTAGAGGATTAGGAATCAAGATTCAGTGGGTCAAAGAGAACAGCAAATGCATTTGCTGATGCTTTGGCAAAGCAGGGGGTGGGAAGGGATCAAATGTTTTGGGCTTTTCTGTTACTTTTTCTTTTTTGTTATCTTCCTGGAGAGAGTTAAGCCTGTTTATCTCTCTTTGGAGTGCTGTAACTAAATTCTTTTAATCTAATGAATTCCAATTATTGATAAAAAAAAAGTTCAGGCATCTAATAAGAGAAATAAAGAGCTTAGCTAAGGATCTTGAGGCAAGCTTCAAATGGGTTAAGAGAACAGCAAATGGGATAATCTCTGTAAATTGGAAAATCAGTAGTTCTCTTTTTTCTAATCTTTATAATTATTTTTCTCTTAATGAAACGAAATGCCTTTGATTGCTGATCAAAAAGAAAAAAAATACTGTAAGTTTTTGTCTCTTCTTCAGCGACCCACTTGACAGTCTCTAAGTGATCAATCTCCTTCCAAAAGAACTGTGAAGTGGAAAAGTACAAAGCCAAGGACATCTCTCCCTCTCAAGTAATCACTTGCATCTTCAACTGATAAGCTCTGACAATATCTAAATGTTCGGAGTATGTCTCTTCAAGACTATGACAAACTTTCTCAGCAGTTTTACTCCATAAATAATTTCTACTGATGTGTGACTGCATACATTTAACTAGCCACAGCATTATCATTTAGTATTCTTGAATCTATCATGGACGTCGAGGGTTTAAAGCATTGGGTTCCTTCACCATTAATATATCCCAGTTTTCCTCTTCCACCAATTCCTATTCTTGTTAACCATACCCATTCTAAATAATTTGTATTATCTAGCTTAACTGTATTAATTGTTCCAATGTTTTGAGAGTCTCTAGTGCTTCCCTGTAGAGTTCTAGACTCCAACAATTGTTTTTAATCACTTTTGGTTGATTCCATCACTTTAAATCAGAACAGATTACTTGAAGAAAACATCAATATATAATGTAGAGATCATATCTCAAATTACAGTCAACAGACAAGACTATCTCGCAGGTTTGAACAACCTTGGCACCTCTGGGACGAGAGAAACTGGAGCTGTTCGCTCTAGGCACTCCAAAAACCAATCTAATGGTCATCAATCTCCATCGTGATGATTCGAGTCACATCACAATCTCCATTGTGATGAAATGGGATTAAACTAGCTGCTCACTACAGACACTCTAGACTTCTCGAAGGCTATGTTTGGTTTGAAGGAAAAGGTAGGGAAAGGAAGGGAAAGATAGGAAACATATACAAGGTTTGTAAAGGTTCCCTTGCCTTTCCTATCCTTCCCCTACTTTTTCCTTCAAACCAAATGTAGCTTAAACTAGCAGGGTTGGATCAGCAATGGGTAAGAAGTGTGTGGTGCTAAAGACATGTTTGTTGGGTGGGGGCTTCAGGGGGTCTAGTCACTTTGTGGAAGGTAGAGAAGCTGATAGGTTGGTTCCTAGTTTCAATAAAATTTAGAAGTGTAGGAGATGGTTTTACCTGGGTTTTGATCAATTTCTATGAACGAAATGCCTATAAAGAGAGGAGTGAGATGTGAGAAAAATTATATGTGATTAGGGGTTCATTGGATGGACCTTGGTGTTTGGGAGGAGATTTCAACATGATTAGATACTCAAATGAAACAAGTAACCCCAATCAATAAATCACTACTAGCATGGGTTCATTGATGGATGTGAACTTTTTGAGCCACCTTTGCTTCAGTCTAGGTTCACTTGGTCCAATCTTCAGGAAATTCTGTTACCTCCAAGTAGGACAAATTCCTCTTTTCTTATGACTAGGGAACCACTGGGATGGTTGTCTCTAGAGATTACCTGGGGTGACTTCTAATGATTGGCCAATTAAGTTAGGGTGTGAAGATTTCAAGAATGGTCCCTCACCTTTTAGGGTTGAGAATGTGTGGCTAACCCATCTTGACTTTGAAAATAAAGTTACAAAGTGGTGGGGGGAAGAGTTGAGATTAGTGTAGGTTTTTACAAAAAATTGCAGACTTAAAACTCATGTCAAGGAATGGGGAGCATTTTGGTATACTAGAGGAGAAAAGTTAAATGTAGTGTCCCTAATATAACTTTATGGGTTGGAGAGTTAGATCTCTTAGTGGAGAGGAGAGAAGTCTAAGGTGGAGATTAAAGAAGGAAGTGAAACGGATTCTTTTTAAGGAGGTGTGTTGGAGACAAAAGTCAAGGCATAAGTGGATGTAGCAAGTGGATTGGGCACTAGTTTTATTTTTATTTTTTTATGCCTTAGAAAATGATTGGAGGAACTTTGTGGCCGAACTAGAAATGAATGGAGAGGTGATTTCTAACCAAGAGAGATTGCTGAGGCATTTGTGGATGATTTTAAATGTATAGGAGGCCCTTGGGGGAAAAGATGACTTTGGAGGGACTTGATTGGCCTTCTTTGGACAAGGATACGACTAGGTTGTTGGAGAGGAAATTTGATGTAGAAGAGATTAGAAAGACGGTGTTTCTTATGGACAGATTCAAAGCTCTAGGCCCTAATGGTTTCACAATGGCCTTCTATCAAGGTTGTTTGGAAAATTTGAAGAATGAGTTGTTTGAGGTTTTTGTTGAGTTTGCAGAGAGACACTATGTTGGCCATGGTATCAATGCAACTTTTTTATCTTTGGTCTCAATGCAACTTTTTTATCTTTGGTCCCTAAAAAGCCCAATGCTATTTACCTTAGAGATTTTAGGCCAATTAGTTTGGTGACCTGCATCTATAAGATTTTGGCTAAAGTTCTCTCTGAGATTAAAAAGTGCACTCCCTTCTATCATCAATCACTTTCAGGGGACCTTTATTAGTGGCAGACATATAATTGGCTAAATTCTTTTTGCTAATGAGTGCGTGGAGGACATGAAAAGATCTGGATCAAAAGGTTTGGTCTACAAGTTGGTCATGAGAAGGCTTATAACCTAGTGGATTGGTGCTTTTTGAGAGAGGTTTAAAAAGTTCCAATTTTTAAAAAGGCTTATGACCTAAGGGTTTAAAATTATTATATGACTATAAATTATCATATCATATACAAAAGTGCCATTTTTTATTGGTAAGTACCTGTTATTAATAATTTAGATTGTATTATTTTATTATATTTTATTGGATAGAAAGTTCTGATTTTCTTCTAATGCTATTATCTTGTTTATCCTTTTATAAGAATTTAAATATTAAAACATAAACCATATTTAACTAAATTATATATAGTTTCAAAGTATTTCACAATTTGAAAAATATGAAGTAAAGAGTGATAAACTTAAGAACGGTTTTTAAAGAGAATGGAGTCATATTAAAACAAACTATTTTGCATGATATGTATGTACATGTAAATCAAAAGCCTTTGATAATTAGCAAAGTAAATTTTGTTGAAAACAATATAAAAGTTGTTACAGCATTATTGATAAAAAAGTTCTTACAGCATTGTGGAATATGTAATGATATGTTCCAATGATATTTTGTGTTGGTATCCATGGAGATAGAAAATATTTTATGGAAACATTTAGGAAATATTTCAGTTATTTAAACCATAGAGTTATAGAAACACTTTTTCCATAAACCAATGATCATTTTATTTAATTTACTTTGGAACACGAACACGATATTTAATTTTTTTCCATGTTGGTATGTTACTATAATTTATTCTTTGCACCTTCTTCAGACTCCTTTGCAGACGCCCATGCAGACACCATTGCCTGTTGAACCTGGAGCATATCCATACACCCCTGTAGGTCATTCTGAATATGGAACGGTACCTGATACTGGTGCTGCTTCTGCAGATATGAAGGCTGGAAAGCCTGCTCCTTACATGGTATTTGATGTTATGCTTATATTTGTACCTTTTCTGAACTTTTTTCATTTTGGAATATTTTGTTCCTTTGTTTCCAAACAACCTTGAAAAGATAACGTTGAATTCTTTTGATTTATGATAGAAGTGATAGGGGATTAGAACTGGAATATACTTTGTATTGTTTACATTATACTTGAAGTCTATGGTTTCTTGTTCTTGCAGCAGCCACCATCTCCCTGGATGAATCAAAGACCACTCGGGGTTGATGTCAATGTTGGTAAGTGGTGGGTGGTATATGGAAATCTTTAATGCAACATGTAAATTGTATCTACTATATCCAGTCTGTATGATCTGCAGTACCTGATTTATTTAGTTCAAATAATTTCAGCTTACGAGGAAGCAAGAGAGGATGAGGAAGGAGGTGGAATATCTCAGCCACAGCCTCCCATAAAGGTTGTTCCCCATTGCTATCTTATTTATCATGTTGTTCTTTTTGAATAACTTTCGTTGGAAATTTCTAATTTGGATTACTTTTTCCTTTGCCTTTTCATTTGCCCTGCAATCATGATTGATCTCTATAGAAATTTGTAAAGGATAACATTATCATGTTTTATACAGTTTTATGGATTTGAACTATTAAGATTTTTTTTAGGGTTGTGCCCTCCAGCTCCACTAGCCCAATGTTATGCTGATACATGGATCTTTTTCTTTATTTCATAATAGAAATGATATAGGACGGGAATGAGAATGTTCTACTAGAGTGAACATGGTGGGTGAAGGAGGGGGAATTAAGGTAATGAGTCATGAATAAAGAGATCAACATCTGCAATGGAGATGAGAAAAAGAAGAAAGAATGCACCTCTATAGCTAGAGAGAAAGAAGATCTCTCTCGTACTCATACTTTCGAAACAAACTCTTATTCCATTAGTTCAACTCTAATAATTTACCCTTTCAACTGAACTCAACTAAGCCTTATTGCAACTATATGGGACATTGGGACCAGCTACATGATGAATCCAGCCATTGTGTTCTTTTCAGTGCCCATATCTGTGGTTAAATTATGGGCCCTCAAAAATACCAAAATTCAAATGCCCAGAAATTATAATGTTACCACTGGTTCAAGAATATGAAAACTTGGCTTCTTCTTCTATGATTTCTTTCCTTTCTTCCAGCCCTATGTCGAGAAAGTCTGATTATGTAGTCAGTCATTTCACCCTTGTTGGACAAATACCACTTTGCTTCTTGCTTCTGCATTTGGGAGGTAAATCTATTAGCTGTTTCTGATGTTTTTTTTTATCATTTACCATTAGAAAATTTTATTTAGAATATGTACAATCATATGCCTAGGTCCCCTTTGGTTGGCCAACTCCCTTTAGCCACCCATTAGTTTTTCTTACATTCCATTTGAAGGGATTACGCCCCAAAATAAATGATTGCTAGCTGCTCTCTGTTTTCTTAGCCCATCTGCCAAACTGTTGGCTGATCTTGATGCCCATTTATAACTTGTTCTAAGCTCCTCTACCACTTTACTTTTCTCTCTTGTAATGTGTATATAAATGAAAAACCTTTCTCATTTTTCTTTAGCTAGTCCACAACAACTTTAGACTCTCCTTCCACCACTAAGTTGTTGTAGTTTAGAAATTTAGCTAATATCAATCCTTGTAGCACTGCCACCAGTTTGGCTCTAGTTGAATGGCCTCAACCAATTATTTCTGAATTCAAAGCCAAAATATCTCTCCCATTGCTTGTATAAACTCCGTGTGTACTGGAAGGCCTGGGATTTCCCAAGCTGGATCTGTCAATATAGAAGTACTGAGTAATAACAAATGTTCCACTTATAAAGGAAACATACTGGGTAGTAACAAATGTTCCACTTACCAATTGAAGAAAAAACAAATAATTAGGGCTGTTCAAATGCAAATCCTTATTCCTTAGAAAACCTAGTCTGGTGGCCAGAGTTCCTTGTCTAGACATTGGTGAACTGGTGACATTAGTGAAATGGGGAAGGTGGTACTAGTGTTTCTTCTCACTTGGTTGATCCAGGTAGATGTAATGATAATTCTTACCCATTAGCTGGATTTTCAGCAAGCCCTTTGCCATCAAGTAACCCTTTTAATCATGGTGACTTATCTGCTAGTAATTTGAGAGACAATATTTCTTCAACTAGCTAATTTTTATGATTATCTTTATTATCAGTCTTATCTGGGGTAACTTGCTGGGCAGAGTTAGCATGTAATGGTTAATGCCCTAGAAGTGTTGCCCCAAATACTACTGAAAGGATGGGAAGCCGAAGTGGAGAAGTTTTTCATTTGGTGAGTAGATGGAAGTCTGAACTGATTATTGAAGCGAAGAAATTTTTATTTGAGAGCGGAAGGGCCAGAGGAAAGAACCTGTTAAAAATTAGGGAGGATAGGAAGGCCACGATACTATTGTTTGAGGAAGCAGTGACATGGTTAAAGGGCTTTATTGATGGTGTTATACAATTGGTTAGGACAATAGGACGGAAAAATGTCTTTGAACTGGGAAAGAAGAGGTATGAAGTGGAACTGAGATGCAATGGTAAAGGATGGTTCATCATGGTCACAGAATATTTTGATGCAAGAAGACAATTGCTTTGCTTACTGGAAGGGAAGAAGAAACAAGGTTGGATGGCCTTTGCGGAGGGGTTGCAGCAGTTTCTTGTCTCTGTCGATGTGGTGTTGGAGCAAGAACAAAGTTCAGTACCCATTAAAAGCCTGGAGAAGCCGTTGAAGAAGAGCTCATGCAGTGATGGTGAACTTATTTCAAGCTCTAATACAGGGGTGAAGCTGTGGTTTGAGGGTGAGAAAGAAGAATGGGAGCGGAGAATGGTGATCTCAGCGAGCAAAGCAATACAAGATTGGAGGAAGGTCCTAAACTCAGTGCTGCACAACTTGAAGCTGGAGTCCGAGGTTGCTCTGAAACCATTCTCAGACAGGAAGGCAGTGTTGAGAATTGACGATGAAAAAATCAGGGGATTTACATCTTTTGAATGTGAAGAAGGTTTGATTCAGATTCAAAACTTGAAACTGTTGTGTAATGAGATGGAACATGTCTRCGGAAGTCTCCTGCTCAAATTGGTAGGTCTTCCCTTCCATCTCTGGAGTGAAGCAAATCTGGGAAATATTGTGAAGCTGCTGGGCGGAGAAATGGAGGAAGTCCATCTGCAAGATTTTCGTGCTGCTGTGGTTAGGATGGTCGGGGTGAGACTGGAATCGCTCCCAAGAACAATAGAGGTTCTTGCTGAAGGTACATGGTTTAAAGTATGGTTGGTTTCAGAGGTGGAGGCAGAGCTGTGGGGACGAAGACCCAAGGTAGAAGACGATGCTGACGTGGAGGATTGGACTACTAGGGGCCTACAGCTGGAGGGTAAGACTGAACATAGGGGGGCAGCTTAGAAAGGAAGCTGAAAAGTCGGTGGGAGAGAACCAAAAGCCACGAAATCTATTACAATATCCACCCAAAGAGATAGCAGGGGCTTTTGCAAATCACTTTAGGTCTATCTTTAGAAAACCTCTAAATAATAGGGTGAGGATTGAGGGTATAGAATGGACAACTTTGCAGATAGAGGATAGGGATTGGTTGGAAAGGAAATTTGAAGTGGAAGAGATAAGGGATGCAATGTTCTCTATGGATAGATCAAAGGCACCAGGTCCAGATGGTTTTACGATGGCTTTTTATCAAGATTGCTGGGAGATATTAAAGGAAGATCTATGGATTGTGTTTGATGAATTCCACTCTAGAGGGGTGATCAACCCAGGGCTGAACTCCACTTTTATTGCACTGGTTCCTAAGAAGAGGAATGCATGTCACCCAAAGGATTTCAGGCCGATCAGCCTAGTCAACAACCTTTATAAGATTGTCACCAAGGTACTGCCCATCAGAATAAGGAAAGTGCTCCCAACAATTATAGCAGATAATCAAGGAGCCTTTGTGAAGGGGAGATAGATAACATATCAGATTCTGATAGCAAATGAGAGCTTGGAGGAGGAGTTTAAGAGATCCAAGAAAAAAGGGTTGATTTGTATACTGGATTTGGAAAAGGCTTATGATTTGGTGGATTGGTCTTTCTTGATGAAGGTGATGACCAAATTTGGTTTTGGGGATAATTGGTGCTGATGGGTCTTGGGTTGTATCAGGAACTGCCATTACTCCATACTGGTAAATGGGACAGTGGTCGATTTCTTCCCAGCCTTGAGAGGGATTAGGCAAGGAGACCCCCTCTCTCCCTTCTTATTTACTTTAGTAGCTGAAGTTCTGGGGAGACTAATTTATAGAGCAGATCCTAGGGGCTTAATCATAGGTTGGCGAGTTGGGAGGGAGCTTGTGCCACTCACACATTTGCAATTTGCAGATGACACCATACTCTTTTGTGAAGTAGGGGACCCTAACAGGGTTAGAAATTTGAAGCTCACTATACGACTTTTTGAGCAAATGTCAAACCTTAAGGTGAATTTTGAGAAAAGTTGTTTAGTTGGGGTAAATATGGGCAAGGGGGAGATCTCTGAGGCTGCAGACATCTTAGAATGTGCAATAGCAAACTGGCTCCTTAATTACCTTGGTTCGCCATTGGGTGATAACCCTTAGAAAGGTGAGTTTTGGGTTCCGGTTGTGGAGAGGTTTGAAAAGAATTTAGCAACTTGGAAGAAAAACTATTTCTCTTGGAGGGAGAACCACTCTAATCAGGTCAACTTTAGCTAACCTTCCTGTTTACTTTTTGTCAATCTTCAAGATTCCGACAAAGGTGGCTAGTAGATTAGAAAAACTAATGAGAGACTTTCTCTGGGAGCCGAGGGAGGAGAAGAAGGACCATAGGGTGGGGTGGGAGATGGTTTGTAGGAGTAAGAGGGAGGGAGGTTTGGGTATCGAGAATTTAAGGAATAGGAACTTGGCTCTTCTGGGGAAATGGCTTTGGAGGTTCTCATTGGAGAAGGACAAACTTTGGGTGAAGATAGTGGAAAGTATTCATGGGGTTGCAGCAAATGGATGGGACTCTGGGATTCTGGCAAGGAGTACAAGAGCATCTCCTTGGAAAGCTATTCAAGCTATTCTACCTTTGTTCTCTCCATGGATCAGGTATGACTTGCACTCAGGCAATCACATTAATTTTTGGGAATATGTTTGGATTGGGGATTCCTCCCTAAAAGACCAATCCCCAAGCCTTTTTGCCCTTTCCACTTTTAAAAATGAACCGGTGTCTTCATTCATTGTTCCTTCTAATTCTATTTCTTGGGTCGGCTGGAACTTGGGCCTGCGAAGAGATATCAGGGACACAGAGCTTGATGGTATCTCATCACTTTTATCCATTCTTGAAGGGGTGTTCCTAGAGCCAACAAAGGCAGATAGTCAAATTTGGACTCTCACCCCCTCTGGTTCTTTCACTTGTGCCTCTTTCTTTAGCGCTCTCACACATTCTTCTTCTACGGGCTTGTCTT